AAACGAATCTAAGAAAAGCGTTATGAGGACGAAGAAAGAAACGAGAAAGCAGATGGGGACAAGACAAGGATAACATAACGCATGACATGACGAGAGGAATCCCTAACGCACGCAACGAGAGAACATTAGACAGTGAAAGAGATTAGCGAGCGTCCGACGAAGCCCCCACCGACCGACGTTCGATCGCGCGGAGACCTCGCAGCCAGCAGCCCTGACCTTTCTCTCCGAAGCGTTCTGAGGTCGGTGAGGGTTGCCGTTTGAGCAGTGATATGGCTCAAGGTGTACTGATTCTTTCTATACTATCATTTTGCTTTAGCTACCTTTTCCCTAGTTAAGCCATGCTAGTGTATATATCTGTTTTATGAATATGTAGTGTAATGAAGATAAATGATCATATATATGCATACAACTACCCCACTAACCCCTCCTCTTTATACATCACTACTGCAGCACTTTCCGGTAGTACGTACTTACCGTATATATTCTCTCATATGGCTCGGGAGCACTGCCCTCCGCCTCCGGCGCCCATTCATATCTCTACCTACTATCTATCTTCTATCTATCCTATATATATATATATTTTATCCTGTGTGTGTGTTAATGTATGTTTATGTTATGTTAATATTATGGAGTGTATATATGAATTTAATATATATTTTGTATAATGTGTGCATATATATTATATTATATATATATAATTATAATATATTATATTATTATAATTATATATATATATGTATTTATTAGTAATGTTTATTATATAGATAGAATGTGGATAGATTAGATTAGAATAGTCGATATATGCTAAGTACTGTAATGGTGAGTGATATGTTCATCAGACACGAGGGAACAATCCTTCATACAAACACCTCTCCTCATCCCTCCATCCTGTATCCTATGCCTCCCCAATTACACCCTCTATCCTCCTCCCTCTCTCTATGTCTCTTCATTAAATATTCTGCTTTCTACTCTCTCTCTATCTACTTACTTCTTCATCTTACTCTCTCTCTCTTCTCTCTACTCTCTCTCTCTCTACTTATCTCACCTATCTACTACACTACTCTCTCCCTTTCCTCCTATACTACCTACATCTCACCACAACCTCCACCGTTCCACCACATACTCTCTGTCCTTACTCTGCTCCTCGCCGCCTCCCTCCCTCTCGTCATCTGTCTTCACTCTCTCTCTCTCTCTCCTCTCTCTCTCTCTTTTCTCTCTTGTCTCTCTCTCTCTCTCTCTCCTCTCTCTCTGCTCTCTCTCTCTCTCTCTATCCCTTCCATCCTCTCTCTACCTCCTCCTCTCTCTCTTCTGTGCATCTCTCTCTTCTCTCTCCTCTCTCTCTCTCTCTCTTCTCTATTCTCTCTTCTCTCCTCTCCTCTCTCTCTCTCTCTTCTCTCTCTCCTCTCTCTCTTCTCTCTCTCTCTCTCTCTCTCTCTCTCTCTCTCTCTCTCTCTCTCTCTCTCTCCTTTTCCTTTCCTCTCTCTTCTCTCTCCTCCCTCCTCTCCTCTCTCCGTCTTCTTCTCTCTCGTCTCTCTCTCTTCCGTTCTCTCTCTTCTCTCTCTCTCTCTCTCTCTCTCTCTCTCTCTCTCTCTCTCTCTTCTCTCTCTTCTCTCTCTCTCTCTCTCTCTCTTCTCTCCTCTCTCTCTCTCCTCTCTCCTCTCTCTCCCTCTCTCCCTCTCTCCCATCTCTCCTCCTCTCCCTCATATACCTCCCTCTTATAGTATCTCTTCATCTCTCTCTCTCCTCTTCTCTTCTCTTCTTCTTATTTATCTCTCTCTTCTTCTATCTTCTTTTCTCTCTACTTATTTCGTCTTCATCTCTCTTTCGTTCTCTTATTACTATCTCATCTTACTTTACTCACTACTCTCTACTATCTCTCTTCTCATCTCTCTCTATCTCTCTTCTACTCTCTCTCTTTCTCTTCTCTTCCCTCTATATCATCCTTACCCCCCTCTCCTTGCCACTCCTCTCTCGCCTTATTCTATTCATCGCTTCTCGCTCTCTCTCTCTTCTTTCTCTTCTCTCTCTTCTTCTCTCTCTCTCTTACTCTCTATAACTCTCTCCTCTATCTCCCTACCTATTTCTACCTCTACTCCTCTCCACTTCTCTCCTCCCTCTACCTCATCCTGTACTCCACTCTCCGTCTTTCTGCCTCTTACAGGAAGCTCTTCAGTGCCTTCTTCCCACGCGCGAGGGCCTCTTCATGCAACCCGAAGCGTCGGGAGCGGAACCAGTTCGCCCCGCCAAAATATCGAGTGCGGTTCTTATTTGTCTTGTCCAGCAGGGAGTATTGTGTCCAGATGAAAAGGCTTGCGCTCCGGAATGTCCGAGACACTTTTATATTAGGGTTTTATTTTTAATGTTTCCGGATGCTGCCTAGCAGATCAACTGCCTCTTTGAAGTAATTGCGGTAACGCAGTTTTAGCCCCAGCCACCAGGCATGTAGCTGCACCCACATTTTTCATCTTTGCATTTTAACCTCTACGTACCCTTTAACAGATTCACAATAACTTCGCACAGAATATAAAAGTCCATTAACTTGTCCATCCATGTGTTTGCGTACAATAAGCGACACAGATCTGTGCTGTCTACCTGCTCCCTCCGCAGGTGAGTATCGACCCCAGCGACGCCGCCGACAGTGTCCTGAGTGTGAAGAAGGAGGGCGAGCCGCCCGGCCCCGCCCAGGCCGCCTTCCATGGCCTCGTCCCAGGTGAGTCTTGGGCCCGACTGCTCTCGGGCCGCGCCTCCTGGACGGCCTTTTGTCATTTGAGATGTTCAGCCTCATGGATTATTGGAAATAGAATTTTAGCTTCCTTGCCCTTGTCATGCCAAGTTTGTTTAACGTTTACAGTGAACTATATTTACTTGAAACCTCTACGAAATGTGGAATGCAGGAAATAGTTTCCAGACCTGTTCCCTGTGGCAATCCGACCCTGCTGAGCGTTTCCTTTGTGTGCGTCAGGTCGCGCGTACAACATCACGGTGGAAACGGTGAGTCAGGACCAGATCTCGGAGCCCACCACGGCCGAGTACCGCACCATCCCGCTGCCGCCCCGCAACGTCACCTTCGACCTCAAGACCCTGACGCCCTTCTCCTTCACTGTCGTGGGAGCGCCCAAGGGGAGAGGGTGAGTAGCCAGCTCAGCTTTTCCTCTGCGACGAGGCGCTGCACCCTGCAGATCCTGCAGCCCATTCCGAACAGGCACTTCTGTGTTACCGCCAACCAGTGGTCCCGACAACTATAATGTACTGCGTTTCATTTTGCAATCTTACTGCTGTTGAGGACACGCTTGTGGACATTTCTATCTATTGATAATGAGATTGTGACTCGGAAACGGTAATGAGAAACGCAAAACGAGACGGCAGTTGCGCCAGTATTCCAGAGATGATTCGGCCAAGACTCTTATAGTGTAACATTGCATTTAGGATGCATCGAATGAAGGACTCCTTATGATAACTGAATATTTATAGGAGAGTAAACCGTTTGTATTTGGTCTTGCTTTGTCTGGTCACGGGAAGGCGATCGGACTGGCTTCGCACCGTCGCCACTTTCGCCGGCGACCGGAGCGCGGCGGTCCGCTTCACCACAAGTTTCTTGCCCCCATTAGGGCTTCCCTTCGTGCGTGAAGCTCGGCGTGCGGTGGCCAGCGGTGCGCGCGTCATCGAGTGGACTTATAGATCTTGGAAGCTTTGTTGGAGAGAGGCGTCGATGCAGGTTTTCATTCTACTTCTGGAATCCGTTTCGATAATTCAGTCACAGGTTGTTCCGCAAATGTACAATTTAAAAGTTTAATGCTGAAGGAATGTTGTAGGATATGTTTTAATTAATATTTTGTTATTTACTGGATATTAGTTTCGTCGATTAGTTTTTAACTTCTGCATTTACACACACACATTTCCACACGCACGCATACGCACACGCACCGCACGCACACAACAACACAGCACAACACACATACACACACACACACCCACACACAACACACACACACCACACAACACACACACACCACACACACACACCACACACACAACACACACACGCATTCGTATATAATACACAGTTTCTCTATCACAAGAAAGTGTCAAGCAGAGCCAAGCACGATTCCTCAGCAGCATTTCAAGTCATGGATCAAGTCAGTGTTGGCAAAGGGTCGTGCTTGCCTCCACTGGGCACTGCGTTACATTCCACCACACCACCGCCGCCCGCCTGCCCGCCTCCTGGCACCTCCCGTGTGAAGGCAGCGTGCGCGGTGCAGCTCCGGCGTGAAAGGTCAAGAGAGGGGGTCGATGTCGTATCTTGGCGCTTATTTCAATCGCTAAATTTTTTCGTTAATTTTTTTCTCATTTTCAAGGTCGTTCATTATGTTTTCATATTACTTTACTGAGAATAGAAGAAAAATGTATCCTAGGATACATAGGTTGTTGAGGTCTTCCCCATTCGCTTTTGTGGCCTGCTTGTTCCTCGAGACCAAAGGAGTTGCCCGGTCACGGTAAAGACAACTTTTCAAATTTTAATACAGACACTGAAAGATGCCTTAAGGTTTCAGTCATATTGCTTTCTCTATCGGTCACAGTTTTATTCAATATTCATATTTATAAGGGTATGCGATATATTTTGATATGCTTCTTTTGATGAGAAAAGTAAATATAGTCATATATTATATATATATTGATATATATATGATATATATTGATATGTATGTGTTATTGTATTTTATATGTATATATACGATCTATCGATCGATAGATAGATAGATAGTTATATGGTATATATAGTGTATTTATATGGTGTGTATATATGTGTGTGTGATATATATAGTATATATATGTAAATATATAGTATATATAGTATATATATATGGATATATATGGTGTATATATGGTATATACATGTATATTTATATATGGTGTATATATTTTATATATAGTTGATAATATTATATATTTATATATTTTATATATATATAGTAATATTATACCATATTATATATATATAT